TATATGTTCAAGGAAGAAAAAGATCAAATGAGTGCAAGAAAATTTAGATATTGAGTTTCGTTGAATTTAAAATTTGTATTTTTAAAGAAGACCTTTCTAATCCTAAGTCATATAGAGTGAATTAGAGAATGGGAGTCCGAAAGCGATAAAATTTAAGTCACATAAAACAAGAGAGAGTGGTCGTGCGCGAAGCCTGTCTTAGATGCAAACTTTAGGTTAAATAAGTAATTATTATTATTATATTTTAAAATTATTTAGTACAGTTTATTTTTCACATTTTGGAGCCTGACTTTGCAATGAGCCTTGGTGGGCGTTTTTAGTTCTTGTTTGGTAGTTTTGCTTCTGCTTTTACGCAAAAACTTCTTCTGAAATGTGTGATGTTGGACTAAAAAAGAATTACTTGTACTTTACTTTTTTAATTAGGCTTTTTTTACGAGTGCATGTCACTCTTCTATAAAATTTTACTTGTTTTGGGCAGACATTATCCTATAAATTTGGTTGTTGTACAATTATAGGAAATGTTCCACTCACCCACTTTTTTTTTTTTTAATAGAAATAATAAAAAAATAAAAAAATAAAAAAGTCTGACAAAAAAAACAAAATTACTCCTTAAAATTGGAATGTAAGAGTAGTTTAGAATAATTATTTTGAAAGAAAACAATAATTTTATATTGAAAAAGTAAAGTGAAAACACCATTCTTCAAAAACAATCACCTCACATTCAATAATTTAGAATAAAATTATGCAAATGATAATTTTTTTCTTTAGCTTGAACTTGAATCCTCACTTTTTACTTTGAGAATTAGATGAAATATCACTAAGTAATTATTATCATTTCATCTACTACTAATTTTTTCGTGAAATTTTACTACTTTGAATATTGAATAGTGAAATTTCGCCTATAAAAATGGTAAAATTCATCATTTTTAATTTTAAATTTCAAAAATGGTAAAGTTTATGGCATTGAAATCCATTAAAATAAAATAAAATTCACCATTTAAATTGTTAAAATTCAAAATGTGTAGTTTATGGTGGTGAAATTTATCACCGAAAGTGATGAAATTTCAAAGTAAATATGAAAAACTACAGTGCAGAAAATTCATGAAAAAATAAGTTAATGGGGAAGATTCTGGTTTGTTACATAACCAAAACAAATAAAAAATTAAAAAAAAAAATATTCTCTTTCAAAAGGTCAAGTAATCTCAAAAAGTTTAAATAATTAATAATAATAATAATAATAGAGAGCTCATGAGTGTAACTCACCTCGTTATAGCTTTCCTCTAATAATATTAAAATAATAATAATAATAAACGTGTAATGCTTTAATAATTAATCAATTTTTAATGTTACTCCAATAAGAAGTATCCAATAGAAATTTTTGTCAATATTAAATACAATTAGTCTCTCCTCTTAGACGTTTAACATTAAACTAGGTAATAACAATTGACGAACATTTTTTTTAATTTTTTTTCCTAGTTAATTAATCACGCACTCCCTCTCAGATTTTGTTTGCACCTAAAATGTCTTTTTATCATTTTATTAATAAATATTAATAAAAAGTTATAAAGTAAAGACACAGGACATAAATACGGTATAGACATATAGACGCGGTGATACATCAAATCTAAAAACAAAATAAAAACACTGATACAACAAGAATATGATAATAAACGAAGTGATACAACACTGTTACAACAATATTTCATACAAGAAAATAATAATAAAATAAAATAAATACTATTAAGTGACCTTTTGATATTCATTCCATAAATGTCCATGTTAGATAGAAATAATATTTATGGTAAAATTGACTTTAATATTTAATTTTAAATTAAAATGCTGGTAGAAATTTTTTAAAATCATTTTTGTAATTTAAAAAAAAATTGTCAAATTTGTAATTGAATAGTATTTAATAGTCCTTTATTATTTTTGTAATTTTAAAATATCAATCAATGAATCAAAAACTGATGTCCTAGGGTTTCCATCTTTCTACGGATCAAAAGAAAAAAAAGATTGACATGGGGTGCGAACACCGTGACTCTGTGCCAAAATCAAGTTTTATGCTTTATTCGATTGGACGGAAATGATTGAAGAGGAATGGATTTGGGGAGGAGAGAGGGGGATGGGAGAAGTGAAGGAACATGTTCGTGTTGATTGGAGGGAAGGAAAAAGACAGTGAAAGCAAGGAGGGATGAAGAGAGGGAGAATGGATTATACCACAAATATGTAGTTTTCATTTTTAACCTTCTCAAAATTTAAAAATAGATATTTAATTTTTATTATTTTATATAATGATGTATAATTGTATATTGATAGAAAGAATATAACAATCCTTTTTCCCTTCCTTCAAAAAAAAAAAAAAGTTTTCACCACATCTATTGTTTGTGGCATTATGCCATCCATCCATCCCATTTATTATAATCAAACCACTAAAGTTTACCAAAAGGGCATTTACGAAATAATTCATTAAATTGTAACTTAAATTTGATTACCGTTAATTTATTATTAGTATTATTATTGTTGTTACTCCCACTTCCACTAAAATTGTTCTTTTTTAAAATCTAACATTTTAAGTGGGTGAATTTTTATGTTTTAATTTTATATATTATATTGTAGTGACAGGAAATGAATTTTCAAATATATCCTTGCCTATCACTTACTTTTTTTTAATTTTAAGATAAAAAAAGTAAATTAAAAATATTAAAAACTAGCAATTTTGAATTGAAATAATTGTTTTTGGCTTTTTATGAGAGAGGGAGTATTATTTTGCTATTTTGGTTGTTTAAGAGAATTTTGTAGGTCTGACTTCTGAGGGTGAATTACATCACTCGAGTTCATAGCGTGTTGTTTACTCTCTCTGTTTAATAAGACATCGAATACATCGAATGCATGTCATATTGTCATGCAGAGTCCAACAAGGACTTTCTCGTTAACTATTGATCCACGTCGTCGTCTTGACCCACCATGTGATTAATATATGATCATGATGGTATGGTTCGTGTACACACGCGCTTCAGTTGCTCATGGTAGTTGCTATCATTTCAGGGAGTTAGGTAGACACGCTTCTCTAAGCATAATTGGGTAAATTGCATTTAACTTACCTCAAATTTACCATAATTATATTGTTTGTCGTTTATCAAATTACACCCTTTCTTATAAATATACTTATTAACATCAACACAACTTATCATTTCATTTGTACTATTTTGCCGTAATTTTTTTTTTAATAAATAATTAAAACGAAATTGATATTATAAGAACAGAATACAATTTCAGTTTTTTTAATTTTTGTGACACGGAACCGTTGCACTTTTGATTGGTATTGCCATTCGCAACCACATATTATTTTTTATGTTGCACCCTCTGAGAGTTGAATGAAGAAATATTTCTTTTTAATATATTTTGACCCCTTCCCTCTTGACATTGGTACGACATTACCCAATGATATAATTGACTGACCGCCCAACTTTCCTAGTGCATGGATTTGGCTTTTTTCCTTCTTCATACACACACAAATACACAAACACATATATATATATATATATATATAGGAATAAATTACATTAACGTTCCTAAGGTTTTAGTCAATGTCACTCAAATACTGATCAACGATTTTTTTAACAATGATACCCTTGTGATTTCAAATGTCATATTTACCTCTGATTATTTAATTAAATTAATTTATACAATATCAACCCGTTAATTGACAAAACTACTCTCATCATTAAGCCTTTTTCTCTACCCTCTCTCTCTTCCCGATCTCGGACATTTATTTATTTATTTTTATTATTATTATTTTTTTCCCTATTGTGGTGGGTTTGGGCTAACCATGACTGTTTTTATTTTTTATTTTTCTACTTTGGTGGTGGTTATAATGGTTATAGTAGTGTCTAGGTTATCAGTGTGTTTCAAAATTTTTATTTTTATTTTTTCTATTGTGGTGTGTGGTGGTGGTTCTGGTAGCGTCTGGGTGTGTAGGTGATGGTGATGGTGATGGTTCTGGTGGCGTTTGGGACGTATAAATATGAGTTGGCCATGGCTGCTTTCAAATTTTTTTTTTTTCTACTTTGGTGTTTGGGTGTGATGATAGTGGTGTACAATTATCTGGTTGTTTTAAAAAAAAAAAATTAGCTTTTATTTTTTATTTTTTTATGTTGTGGTGGTGGTCATGGTGGTATACATACTATTATTATATATAAATTATATATACATGTATGGAAGAGACTAAGATGTTAGTTTGATTTATTAAATTTTGTTAGGAGGTTAAATTTGTACTTTGAAAATTTAAATGGAGTTGTTGACAAGTTAAAGGGTTAAAATTTAATTTTATATGGTTTCAGAGATATGGAGGGAGTGTTAATGCACAGTTTTAAAACTTCAAGAGGGTGCTAATGTAAAAAAAAAAGTTATTGACCATCCGCTCAATGAAGTTGATCAAAATCGCAGGGGTATCATTCTAATTTATCCTATTTATTATTATTATTATTATTTTTTCTTCGCTTATGTATACACGTATACTGCTTTAACCTAGGTGTTTTTGCAAGCGCTAAAAGAGTTAAATGTAGAAGTTCGAGCTTAGGGTTGGCCGCAGGTCACTGTAATTAACCTTTATTTTTGTGTTAGGCACTGTAATTAACCTAATTACAATATTAACAAAAAAATTAATTAAGATAGTAGAAAGTTGGAGCTCACTGTTCTATGTTCCTGCTCCCATCACAGCCACTCTCAGAGAGAGAGAGAATCAGTGCTTTGTATAAAGATAACCCCTTTTGCTTTCAGATGTTATGAAAAAAATGGAAATGAGAATTTCTACAAACTAAAAGAAAAGAAAAAGTTCTGTTGATGCCATTGTAGAGAGAGAGAAAGAGGAACCTTTTGACATCTGTAGTGGGGGAATCTTTGATGTTTTTACTTGATGAAGTGCTCTCTCTCTACCCTTGAAAGGTAAGCTCATCTTCTTCACTGCTAGTGAACCACTTTCTATGGTGGTACTATTTCACTTCTTTAATCTCGTGTTGTTCATCATACCCACTATCTGCAACTTTGGCTTACACTTGTTCCACTTTTGTCGCTGAAATGTCTTGATTTGTTGTTTCTTGCACTCACCATGTGTTCCCAAATAGCAAGTTGACCCTCTTTCTCTCTCACACACAAAGACACACACCAAAATCTATTTTTTTTTTTTTTTTTTGTTGGTGGGAGATGGGTTGATTATACATTTGCATGTGTTGGCTATTTCGATGATCTATTTGGTCCTTAGATAGACCAGCTTAATATCTGTGGATTGTCTGGTTTTCTGTCAAATTGAAGCCTCTAGGTATTTAAGTTAGATTAGTCTTCTGTTATAAGTATTTGTTTAAATTTATTTATTTATTTTTTATTCTTCATTTCACTATTGGATTGTATTCAGTCAAATTTAGCTTCTGTGTATTCCTAGATGTAACTAGAACTCCCCAGATTTCTTAAAATTTTCTGGGTTTTGCTAAAATTACCCTTCTGATAATTGATTTGTATATAATTTCTCTGTGAGGGGGCGATCTTACTAATAAGATTTTTACTTTTTATTTTCAATTTACTTGTTGAGCTGTGGATTACTTGTAAATTTGAATCCAAATATAAGTTCAGGTTGAAATTTCTGAACATAAAAAAGCTTTCTGGGGGTTAGATCTTGTATTGTTATTCACATGTATATGCATATTGCTTTTGTTGAAATTCTCTCTAATTGGACTATGTATATGATTTTAAGTTACTTTGAAATATTCAGTTAGTTCTTGCACTTTCTGTTCTGATTCTATCATGTCATGGGTTGATTGTAGAAGTTAATTCAATTTGTTCGATAAAGGAGGAATCACATCATCTTCTTGCTATTCTCGTTAGAGCATTTGTTACATTTCCATGCTTGATAATGGCTTCAAGGTCATTCTCTAACCTCTTGGATCTTACTTCCGGTAATTCGACAACTTATGGCCGAGGGGCAAAGAGGTTCCCTCGAGTGGCAACTGTTGCTGGTGTATTGTCTGAACTAGATGATGAAAATAGCAACAGTGTTGGTTCTGATACGCCCTCATCCATAGCTCAAGAACGGATGATCATTGTGGGAAACCAACTCCCACTACGGGCACATCGAAGATCTGATGGTGATGGGGGATGGAACTTTAGTTGGGATGAGGATTCCCTTCTTTTACAACTCAAAAATGGCCTTGGAGAAGATGTTGAAGTTATATATGTCGGTAGCCTTAGAGAAGAGATTGACCCAAATGAACAGGATGATGTAGCCCAAACCTTGCTTGAAACTTTCAAATGTGTCCCAGCTTTCATCCCTCCTGATCTCTTTAGTAAATTCTATCATGGATTTTGTAAGCAGCAACTGTGGCCTTTATTTCACTACATGCTTCCTCTATCACCAGATCTTGGAGGCCGATTTGATCGCTCCCTTTGGCAGGCTTATGTCTCCGTAAACAAGATATTTGCAGATAAAGTAATGGAAGTGATCAGTCCCGAGGACGATTTTGTGTGGGTTCATGACTACCATTTGATGGTTTTGCCATCATTTCTGAGAAAGAGGTTCAATAGGGCGAAGCTCGGATTTTTCCTCCATAGTCCATTTCCATCATCAGAGATATACCGTACACTACCAGTAAGAGATGACCTTCTCCGAGCACTTCTGAACTCTGACCTCATCGGTTTCCACACTTTTGATTATGCAAGGCACTTCCTTTCTTGCTGTAGTAGAATGCTTGGCCTTTCTTATCAATCTAAGCGAGGTTACATTGGACTCGAGTACTATGGTCGCACTGTCAGCATTAAGATCCTCCCTGTTGGGATTCATATGGGCCAGCTTCAATCTGTGCTAAATCTCCCTGATACTGAATCTAGGGTTGCAGAATTACGAGATCAGTTTAGGAATCAGACTGTTTTGCTTGGAGTCGATGATATGGACATCTTTAAAGGAATAAGCTTGAAACTTTTGGCCTTTGAACAACTGCTCATACAGCATCCTGATAAGAGGGGGAAGGTTGTTTTGGTTCAAGTTGCAAACCCTGCGAGAGGCCGAGGGAAAGATGTACAGGAGGTCCAGTCCGAAACTTATGCCACAGTAAAAAGAATTAATCAGAAATTTGGGTTGCGAGGATATGATCCAGTGCTTTTGATTGATACTCCGCTGCAGTTTTATGAAAGAATTGCTTATTATGTAATTGCAGAGTGTTGTCTTGTCACAGCAGTGAGGGACGGGATGAATCTTATACCCTACGAATATATTATATGCCGACAAGGAAATGACAAGCTAGACGATGCCCTGAGACTGAACCCATCAACACCCAAGAAGAGCATGCTAGTGGTTTCGGAATTTATCGGGTGCTCTCCATCCCTCAGTGGTGCAATTCGGGTTAACCCATGGAACGTTGATGCTGTGGCTGAAGCTATGGATTCTGCCTTAATTGTCCCTGAGGCGGAGAAACAGTTGCGGCATGAGAAGCACTATAGGTATGTGAGCACCCATGATGTTGCATACTGGGCACGTAGCTTTCTGCAGGACCTTGAAAGGGCATGCAGGGATCATGTGAGGAGGAGGTGCTGGGGCATTGGTTTTGGTTTAGGGTTCCGAGTAATCGCTCTAGATCCAAATTTCAGGAAGCTTTCGGTTGATCATATTGTCTCGTCTTACAAGAGAACCAAGAACCGAGCAATTCTTTTGGATTATGATGGTACTATGATGCTGCAGAGCTCAACTTCAATCAATACGGCTCCCAATACAGAGTCCGTGGGAATCTTAAACAACTTGTGCAGAGACCCCAAGAATGTGGTCTTCCTTGTTAGTGGGAAGGACAGAGAAACTTTAACCGAATGGTTTTCTTCTTGTGAAAAGCTTGGTATTGCGGCAGAGCATGGTTATTTTGTGAGGTAAAAACCATAATCCTTTGTTAATCTTGAAACATATATTATTTGCTTTCCAACTTGAATAAGTAAGTATTATTTTTTGATAAATAACTTGAATATGTAATTATAAAACTTAAATTATTGAGCGTGTACCAGTTATGGGCTTTAACAAATTAAGTATGAACTTAATGGACAGCATGAGCCATGAACAAAGTATTCCATACCTCTAGAAGTTGGTGAAAACCATTAGCTTTGAAATGTTTAGCTCCATGTTTGGAAAACAGAAGCTCTATTTCCTTGGAGGGGGAACGTATGAGTATCAACTAGGAAAATGAAAAAGAAAAAAGAAAACAAAAGTTCTATCCGTTTTCTGAAAATCTTCTATTTTGTTATGAAACAAAACATAGATTGGCAACTGGCAACCTTATCACCACGCTTATGCCATTTGACCCAAATACAAAGCTGATCATATATACTTATATATGTATGCATCATCTTTATTCTGGTTTAAATTACTATCTTATCATTTATTGAGTATATGTAATTTTAATACTTTAATATTATTATCTTCTTGGTTTGGACTTTGGCATGTTAAATAAGGGGGAATCCTTAATTTAATATTTATATTATGTTTGTGTTGGCAATTTTATTCGGATCATATTGTTAATCAGTTTGTAGGTTTTCTAGTGGGATCTGTAAATTAGTTAAACAACTAGCTTATAGCATCATCCACGTTGTTTCCTTCAACTGTGAAAGATAGTTCCCCCTAAATTTCTGGGATAATGTTTTCCCTTCTTTTCATCCATACTGAGGAAAAAAGTTTTGCAGCAATTTGGGAAGTCTAAAATCCTCAAATGATTTTTCTTATCAGAGTCTTCAGTCCTAAAAACAGTGAATGAAGAGAATGAAATTCCAAATGTTTTAAGTTCATAATCTAGATTGGTCTATTTAGTTTTTGTCAATTTGTTAAGCTTTTATAATATGGCGGTGGTAATAGTTTTATGACCATGGTGGTGGTGCATTGGTGATGATAGTAGGTGGGATTTTTATAGAGTTTTGTGTCCTCCAAATCTCTCCATCAGTCCATCAGAGAGTTTAGTAATCCTTTTCATTAATTACCCAATTGAAGAAATTTTGATTTTAACAAAATCTAAAGTAAATTCCTTTTCTATGTTCAAAGGCACGCTAAATTCATCGAAGGGTAGTGAAACCTGTGTCTTTCCTGAGATTTGGAAAGAGAGATTCCTGTTACAAGGTTGTGTTGCTTCTGTTTGTTTTATGCTTTTGGTGGTTGGAAGGAGGCACTGTTAAATGATGTGTCATCTACCACTCATATGTGATGATCTACACTTCTATTCAGCCTTTGTCCTGCCTCTACACTGTTCGGGAAATTTTATTTGTTTGGATTTTATAAGTATGCGATGCTACACATACAAAATTTATAACAAGGTAAATTCGTATGTTATTTGTATATCATAAAGTTACACAAGTGAACAGATATAGAACTCATAAATTGACATGAACAATAGCAAACATAAACTTACACTAAATTTATACACGAGAGATGAGATATATAACTGCTATAAATTACAGAAAATAAGTAATTTAAATAATAGAAATTTGAAAGAAAAAAAACTGGCCTTCAAGATGGAGAGGCGTGCTAGGCACTGTCTTAAAATTGGTATAGCCTCCATGCAGGTATTGACAGTCTACAACAACTCCAAGATACAATCCCAGTTGATCACGGTCGCGTCTCTCAATGACCACGTTCACCAGAAGAGTTCGAAGTCCTAGTCACGTTGCCCACAAACACGTAAAATGGATAAACTAAGATACATATATGTGTGTGTGTTATATATCTATCTGTATGTGCATGTAATGGCTAGAGAAGGAGAACAATATAGTATATAAAGTAAAATGAATAGGAAGGATTGTGAAGTAGAAGACTCATTGAGATATGGTGATGGCCTTTATTTACAAGGTTGGAAGTGTAACATCTTTTAGATAACAAAAATACTAACACCATAATAATATATTGTGTACTGGTTTTTATTATTATCGCTAAGACAACCTTGTCGAAACATTATTTTTCAGGCCAAACCATGATTCGGACTGGGAAACTTGTGTTGCTGTGCCAGATTTTTACTGGAAACAGATTGCTGAACCAGTAATGAAATTATACACTGAAACAACAGATGGTTCTACCATAGAAGCCAAGGAGAGTGCACTTGTTTGGAATTACCAGTATGCAGATCCAGATTTTGGCTCATGTCAGGCTAAAGAGCTTTTGGACCACCTCGAAAGTGTTCTTGCCAATGAACCAGTTTCTGTCAAGAGCGGTCAGCACAGCGTAGAGGTTAAACCTCAGGTTAGTAGTACATTAACTATAATCATTTCCTTGTGATATAATTACATTTTGTTAGTTGTGAAGAAATACTTTGTGGGAAAACTTCAAATTTGATCACTAGCAAACAATTTGTGTTTTGGTCTAGCTTGATTTATCAGTAAAAAATGAGGCAAAGATTCTTCTAATGAAATTACATCTTATCATCTTTAGAGTTCACCACTTTAAGCTTTAAATTGCATATCTCATTTGAACAGAAGTAAACTCATTTAAAAAAAAAGTTACAAGGTCTTTCTGATTCTATGCTTGTGTTGCATGCATATGCATGCCCATATTTTTTAAATTAACTTGAATTAATCATGTTATAAAAATCAAAGTTTTGTTACTCTCATAAACTAAAATGTAAGGAGTTATGTTTAACAACCCTAGCATTTGTTTTTTTCAAGTTCAAAAAATATTTCGTTATTTCAATACAGTTGTATTTGCCCCATTTGTTTATTACACAGGAGGTGCAAAGTTTTCCTTTCAGTTTTATGTGGTAAAATAAAAATGAAAATTGGTAAAATTGACCTTCATGCCTTAAAGCATATGCTGGGCCATTTTATTTTATTTCCCTTTTTCTTATTTTTTCCCAAATGAAGCTTAAAGTTAAAATGCCCATACAAATTCAAGATACTCTGGAAATGGAGCCAAAGTCCAAATTTGGTCATATGGTGTATGCTTAATGTTACCTCTATCCTTTCTATAATCATTTTTCTTCAATTACATTGTCATAAGTGTTCAAGCTTATTTATTGTTCCAACAATTAACTGCAAGATTTTTCTCATCTGTCATCTATAAAAATTCATTCATGTGATGGATGATGAAAACCTATTATGTTATCTTCCACTTTGGGAATTTGATGGTTTTAATATGACCTTTGGGTGCGACTGGAAACGAATTTTACAAAGATTACCTTTTATTGTTCTCTAGAGTCAATAATTTTGTGGATTTTTTTGCCTTCTAATGATCTGTAGTTTGTTTATGGCTTGTTTGGGGAATGTACACTCTGGATCTAGTTGAAATATATGGTTATACCTTCTGTAATGAACATCTCGGCTAACTCATTATGAGTTTGGCCCAAGGAGAGTGTTTTAGAATTTAAATGATTAAAGTGCACACCGAAGGAAAACGGAAGCAATTTTAGTAAATTTTCAGGATCTTTTCCACGAATTTTCATCAAATAAAAAAAATATTGAGATAGATTTGATACCTTTGGACGACTGGGGATAGTCAATACAAGAACACTCTCTTTTGGCCTTGAACACCGGTGAAGCTTCACCTTATGACCCAAAGGTAGGTTTGTGGAACTCTCTTTCTCTCTCACTTTGGCTATTCTCTGTAAAAGAATAACGACTTAGCAATAATTACCTTTTACAATAAATGAGGCTAGAGATAAGGATCCAAAGGGCATCCTTATCCTAGTTCCGATTGGATATGATAGAGTTGCGAGCTTACCAGTATTTTATTTTAATTACACTCTAGGATTTAAAAATTACAACAAGGCCATGCGGTGTTAAGTAATTGCATATAAGCCCCTTCACTAACGGAAATCCATAAGTTTTTCAAAAAAATAAATAAATAAAATATTGTCCCACATAATGTAAGGCTCACTTATATCTTATATATATATATATAGTCCCGTTCAGTTGCTCCCTGGTGTGCAGGGAGCAATATACGCGACTTCAATTTCAGTCGTTGGATTTCATCCAATGACTGAAATTGAAAACAACTATATTAGTTGTTTTTGGTTTTTTAAGACTCCAAAACCTGAGTGTTTTAAATAAAATTAAACACCTTATGATAAGGAGGTATTAATAATGAAAAAATTAAACAAATAATTCCACAAAAATCGTGGAGTCCTTCTATTACGGGGAAAAAAGAAAATTAAACACCTTATGCTCTTTTTTCTATATTCATGTTCTGGTTAAAAAGATTCTCTTCAAACAGTGCAAGTTTTGTTACTGCGTGCTCCGGTAAATTTCTCACAGAGGTTAGTATTTCACTCAACATACTCCTTTCTCGATGCATGACTATGAATGGCTTCACATGGGGGACATTTTTTTTTAGTTCATATCATCGTGTAATCAATTTATTTCTCCAATTGTTGAGGTTTTTTTTTTTTTTTTTCCTAGCTAATATTAAAAATGAAAGAAGATAAAAAAAAATTTGGAAGTTATCATTACAATTGATGGTATAAATAATTCTTAAAAAGACTTCACTACTCTCACTATTCTATATCCAAACGATGTTGGTGGAATTATTTTTTTAACTTTTTTTAATTATTAATACCTCCTTATTATTAGGTGTTTAATTTTATTTAAAACACTATAAAAAACCAGAAACAACTAATATAGTTGTTTTCAATTTTAGTCATTTGATGAAATCCAACGACTGAAATTAAAGTTGCGTATATTGCTCCCTGCACACCAGGGAGCAACTGAACAGGGCTGTATATATATATATATATATATATATATATATATATATTTCTAGTTGGGACACACACACACTGCCTCCACTGAGGTTCGAACCCTTGACCTCCCTTTGGAAAGTAGGAGCCTTGTGCCGCTAGGCCACAAGCCTGTTGGTACCAGTTTAAAACGTTATAATCACTAAATTAAAAATTCTTTAATAAAAGAATTTCCAAAATAAATAATTTTCTATATATAATAATACAAAAACATTTTGTTAAGCAATTTACTAAAATAACCTAGGCCAATTTCCAATAATCAACTTATTAAATTGTATCAAGGATGGATATTCTCCTACTCTTTAAACAGTGTGGATTATGTGTTGAGTATTTGTGTTCCTACCTCTCCAACATTAGCCACCCAAGATATTGTAATATCGACGTTAGAAGACTCACACATTACAAGTGACCAACACCGAAAGCTTGAGTCCACTAAACCTCTCAAGATTTAGAGCTCAATGCATTTAGTATATTAAAATCCCACCAATATAATGACAATAGTTTGTATGGTGTGATCTTGTGGTGATCTAATTCTGAGTGCAACTATTATAATGGTCGAGACAAACCATCCTATCTTCTAAGTCACCTATAATGCAACTTGAGGTCTATGATACTTCTCCCGCAAAATATCAACCGTATGCCCAATGTATGAAATATATATATATATATATATATATATATATATATATATATATGATCCACTTATTTCTCATTCATTAAATAAAATAAATAAATAAATGTCAAATAAAAAGGGATAATTAGCTTTTAGAGCACATAATGCCAACACACACTCTCTAAATAGCTTAATGTCATGGATTCTTGTCCCACATCGTATCTGTATGGGAAGGGTCCTGGGCATATAAGGTTGGGTGGAAGCACCACCCAATAGCTTAAGCTTTTGGGTTGGACCGTGAAGCACTCGGCGGTTCCAGCCCTTGACAATAGTATCAGAGCATGCCTAATCCTTGACCCGATGTAATGCCAAACGCCTACACGTAGGTGTCCGGGTCAAGTACAAGGTCTCCTGCCGTTAAGGTGGACAGTTAGGTAGCGGAGGTGTTTGGATCGAGTACCGGGTCCCCCCACCATTAGAGTGGACGGGTAGGCAGAGTGGACCAACTGCAACAAGGGCGTTGCGGGTTTGGGTGGGGGAGAATGTCATGGATTCTTGTCCCACATTGGATCCGGATGGGGAGGGTCTTGGGCATATATAAGGTTGGGGGTGTTAGCACCTCCTCATAGCTTAAGCTTCTGGGTTGGACCGCGAAACCCCCGGCTCGTGAAATTAATCTTGTATGGTAAATGTTTTTAAGATCAATGTATTGGCTAGTGACATCCTGAACATTATCGTCTATGCATCCATTCAAAATGAGAAGACATGATGGGCTATGTAGAGCATATATTCCAATAATCTCCATATATGTGTCCTCTTATTGGTGGGCCATTCCAATGAACTAATATAATGTTTTTAGGGAAGCTAAAGGTTCGAGCGCTTGACCTTATGGCTTTAACACCATGTTAACAACTATTTACACTAAAAGCTTAAGTAATCTACCCCCTATCCCCGCCTCCAACAACCAAAAAGAAATGATAATAACATAAAATAAAATGAAAGAAGTGTTCCAAAAGTAAAAGAGTGTAGCTGCCTATTTAATTAGGATTCTTCATGGATATGATTGAGTTTTCAAAATGTGCAAGACTACTAATTTCCATTCCTTGGCAATAACTGTGTTTCAATTGTTTTTTTTAGTGCAAAATTTAGATTGTAGTTTGCTATGTTATGGAGGCCCATAGCCATATATATAGTTTAGCCAAGTTCGTGGCAATACCTGTGGAGATTGATGCAATACCAACATGACTACAATGACGGAGTTATCAAGGGGCCAGTGGGGCACTAACCCCAACTCAAAATGTTTAATTATTTATTTATTATATATATGATTTTCAGTAATTCTAATATAGCCACCCCCTAAATTTTCTTTAAAATTTATATTTTCTTTACCATATTTAGCCCTTATCTTTATCAACTTTTTCCTCCTCTCTCACATAGTTTTTGTCTGACTTTATTTTGTTTCCTCAACTTCACATCTTCTCTCAACCTGAAAAATAAAATTTTCATTTTAGTAATAATAATAATAAAGGAGTAGAGTTGCAAAAATAGAAGATTTTGGTTTAAACAATACATATGTTAGCTTCTTGTTTTATATATATATATATATTTTTTTTGAACTTTTTTTGCTAAAAGGAAGATCAATGATATTTGTTGTCCATGCAAGAATCTAATAGTATCACTTGCACTCATATGAGAAATTGGGGATTTTAAAAAAGGAAGAAAATAAGAAGATATATCCAGCATGGAGATCAGGAAACTTTTTCCTTTATAATGGTAAAAAAATGAGAGTTGTGATATTTGTTAGAGTTTCCTAACGAAATAAGATGAATTATATTGTCTGGAAAATTTTGAAAAGGAAAAGAGAAGAAAAAGAAATAATTTATTTTGAATCTAGATCCAAATTTGATTATTCTGTTCAAATGTAGAGATATTTAGCCAATTGAATCATTGCATGAAGGCAATTGCTGTGTTGCCCGAGTGGTTGGGTTGCTCGGCTCCCCATGTTGGGGAGCCTGTGTTCGAGACTTGTGCCCTCCCCATCCCCTCTAACCACTGACTAACCCCCTAACATTCTTGCCTTTAAAAAAAATATATATCACTAAATGAAGAAAGCTACATGACCAATTCAGCAAACCTTTAGAGATATGTGATAAAAGGACAATATATCTAAATTAGAAAAGGAGGGGGGAGGGGGGGAACTAACTCGAGCTGGAAACAAATTTATTCATAAATTTAATTTGTTACAAAATGGGAGTCAATTAGTTGATTTGTTGAGAGGAATTTAAAATACATTCTTAGTAAGGTGTGTAAAATTGGGATCATCTCGACAATTATATGGTTTTCTTTAAAAAAAAATTATTTAGTATCTAAAGTTGCCCCCACTAGAGTAATTTTCTGCCCGCATCACTGCATGAGTTGGTTATGGTTTGTGCCAGAGAGAAGGGGGTTGGAGAGAAACCTAAGGGAGGCTAATGTTTTCCATCTTACCCGAGGGAGGGAGGGAGGGAGGGAGAAAGAAACCCAAGAGAGGCCAATTCTTGGCATTTTAATCACCTCATTTGGAGTAGTTCATGTGAGGCAGTGTACTATAGGTGTGGAAAGATAAGCTGATTATCACTCTCTTCTTTAAAGTTTCGAGGAAGGCATTTCTTGATCCCTTATTTTGAACTTTTTAGACATTCTTTTTTATTTTTATTATTTTATTTTTATTTTTTTTACTTAATTGGTACTCACACCCCCCACCCCTCCAAGGAATTGTGCACACCCAAGAGGAGTCGAACCTTAGACCTGATGCTTCCTGAGGCACCAGAGCTAAGTGACTTACCCACTTGAGCAAACCCCTTAGGGTTTACTTTTTAGACATTCCATTCATAACTTTCTTTCAAACCATTGTATATTGATTCAATTTAAATTATCCCATTTTGTTATCATTATTATTGAAGATTTGTTGTGTCTCCGGCAGTTTTTATTGACTTGTTTGGTCTGCCGGCGTGTTTGGTAGCATTGTCTTCACCTTTGCCATGTCTCCGGCATATTTTATTGAGTTGCTTGAACTGCCGGTGTGTTCGGTAGCATTGTTCTTCCCCTTTGCTGTGTCTCAGACGATTTTTGTAGACTTGTTTAGACTGTCGGTGTGTTCGGTAGCATTGTTCTTCGACTTCTCTCCTCTCTTCATCATCTGCACTTGCTGCTACTCATTTTCTCAATGGAAATTTGGACATTGATGATCCAACTTGAGGGGGAGTATTGAAGATTTGCTGGAGGAATTAGTAGAGGAAAATCTTCCAAGTTTTTAATTTTTTTCCTATTATTGAAGATTTACCAATTACTTAAGGAATTAGTGGAGAAAAATCCTCCTTGTTTCCTACTTTCGACCTCTTTCCGTTCTAATCATTTCTTCTCCTATATAAAGGAGCCTCCACCATTGTATTGTGTATGAGTTGAGAGAGGATTATAAAAATGAAGTAGCCCTTTGGGATCTTTGTGTTGTGGATGTAGGCCCCAGTGGTTGAATCACATAATTATATTTGTTCTTCTTCTTTCATTTCTCTCTTCGCATATATTTTATACTTTACAACAATTATCTACATCCCCATCAAATAAGCCAGTAATTCTATACTTTTTAATTCAACTTAAAAATTCCTTGAATTCTAGCTACTGAAATAAATTTTCTCCATAAGGATGAAGAAGGAAGATGAGAAATGTTCGGATTTATGTATCCGATTCCAAATAGTTTGAACCAAGTCCCGATGAGCTTATTAAAGTCACATTTCATTCATTTGACTCTTAACTCTAAAACATGAATTCCTGATTGAATTACTAAAAGTCATAGAATCATCCGAAAATGAAACATGTTAAAGTTTCAGAGCTTTTGAAACATGCTTGAACAATAAATCGTTCCAAAACTTTTGGTTTTGTAGGCACCTAAAATCACAAGCACATGCTCTCCATGGTAGGAATTGTTTCTTAAGAATTGTTCTTTTAATACTTCAAAACAGCTTTTTGTTTCACAACCAAAATATATCCCCATGAACCTCTGTAATCCCTACTGTAGTGCTCTTTGAAATGATTTCAACGTTATTGTGTGTGTTCTGTTCATTATCCGAACATTGTTAGTTTACTTATAAAACATGGCATATGAACATTGTTAATCATTGATGTGTTCTAAGTACTCTGAAGCGACATATTCAGAAATACATAATCTAGAAATAACACGGAGTTGGAGTTTTGATGAGAAAGTGGAACATGGTGATTGTGGTGAACTTTTAGGGGCAATCATGTTGTTGATGATTGTGGATTTCCCTTGAGAAGAGTGATGCCATTTTATGAACTCACTTCTTGACATTCCTAATATGATAATTTAATTCTTAACAGAGACATATATAATAATGCAAAAAATTTGTGTGGCTGTGTGGCCATAATGTTGGCATTAGTTTCCTTGTAATGTAACCTCGGTTTCTCCACCTTTTTTAAAGTTCTGTTTGACTCTCTTATTAGTTGCTATCATATAAGATTCTTGACTAAAAAAAGGGCTAGGCCAAGGCTTCCTCCATTGCAGGTCTGGGGAGGATCGATGTTCGCAGCCTTTATCTCCATGTGGAGAGGCTGTTTCTGGTTTTGAACCCGTGACCGGCACGTCACAATGGCGCAACCTTACCGTTGCACCAAGGCCCACCCTCATATAATATTCTTAACTCTTCGGGAAAAAAATGATTCTTGAAGAAAAAGTTTAATTAGGCCTGTGCTCCAAATGTTAATTTTCACTTATTCACTATTATCCATCAACAGGGTGTCAACAAAGGTCTTGTAGCAGAACGCCTCCTAGTAACGATGCAGCAGAAGGGAGTGCTTCCTGATTTTGTGCTTTGTATTGGGGATGATCGGTCAGATGAGGACATGTTCGAGGTGATAATGAGTGCAAAGGATGGTCCCTCTCTCTCTCCAGTTGCTGAAGTGTTTGCTTGCACTGTTGGCCAGAAACCCAGCAAGGCCAAGTACTACTTGGACGACACATCCGAGATATTGAGAATGCTGCAGGGCCTTTGCACTGCTTCTGAACATTCTGCTAGAAATGCTTCCCATGCTTCTCAAAAGGTTGTCATAGACAGCGAATAATGAAAAAAAAAAAAAAAAATCAGTTTAGAAGCAGTATATATTGGATTGTCTGTGCAGCAAAGTCTTTTCGACCCATTTTCCGTTTTCTGGTGGCGGCTAAGCTTGATAATTTGATAATTTTGTTTTTCGTTTGTCATCAGAAATTCATTAGCTTTTCTGGTTGTTGCAGATTGTATGTAGTTCCCCTATACTGAGTAGATAAATTGTTACTCTGGTTTTGTTGTTCATATCCTTTCAGTGCTTGGTTCTATCTTATTTAGTTATTGAGTGGGAAAAATGAAACTATGGTTAAAATTTAAGATAGGCATTATGTGTTTTGTTGTAGTATGGTTCTTAGAAATACCTTTTTAACAGAATGTTTCTGTGTAAGGTCCTATTTTTCTTGATGAATTTATTTTCTTTAAGTACCATTTGTTTCAACAATTGGTGGATATAAGTTTAGAATGATAAGCTTTTTTATTTTAATATGTACTTTTAAAACAAGCCCTCGGAAAATCCTCTCCATATATGATACAATGATTCATAGAAATAATGAGTTTAATTGTACCAATTGACAACATATGTAACCCATGTAGGTATCCAATTTCTTGGTTAATATTTGATATAATATGTCTAAAATAAAAGTATTATTGGCATCGAGAACGGAAATGTTTTGACAGTTGAGTTTGGTGAGTAGTGGGTGGGATTGAAGGGTAAATGAGGTCATTTATTTCATTTTGCTACTTTAAACAAAATTTGAACCAAATTTAACCATTGCATTTGCCGTATTGCAAATACTGATCATTACAAATTTGAAAAATACTAGGAAATAATCATAGGTAAATATAAAAAGATTATACATAGTTCTTCTTTTTCTCTTTCTTTATTTTTTTTTAAAAAACAGGCCAATAATGTTGGGGGAGGGGGAGGGGGAGGACGCAAGACTCGAAAATAGAGAATAATTCAACCACTTTAGCAACATGACACTTCCAAGAAATACCCTTAAATGTGTCGCTTCAATATAATAAAATTCAATAACTAAGCAAACTTATATGCTTTTTCATATACATTGAAGAAATACGCTCACACATTTTTTTTTTCTACATTCGGGCTCGAACTCCTTTTAGACGGAGAGGTTATACCATTGGGTAAGATCTCATTCGATAGCTAAAGAGAAAATTAGTCTTTTATGATTAAAATTACTCGTGATTCATATCTATGACATCCATATAAGTTCATTCATATAACCTATCATGTTGTGGGTCGAGCAACAACAAATTTTTACGAATCTAGAGAGGCCAACGAATTTGATTTTAGGCCTGATTTTGGCAATCCTGTTTGGAGCACGGTGGGATGCTCCACCTCTTAGGGTGTTTAAATTTAATATCAATATGAGTTTTATAGCAGATACTCGTGAATCTGGTGGTGGGGTTGTTTTTGCGGGATTGCAATGGCGAAATTGTGAAGATGGACTGGCAACCTATATGCAGGACATTGGGCATTATACATTGGCATAGTTGGTAGTAGTAGGACGTCCAGCTCCCTACGCGCGTATGCTCATGTTTGAGTAAACCCTATATACATTTATAATCTTTTAGTAAGTGGTTGCGGTACCGACTAGCTAGCTCATATCGTGGGATCTTTTGTTGTGAGAAATAGGATTTCTACAAAGATTGAGAGTGAATGGCCTGTAAAGGTTTTTACATAATCATAAAAAAAAAACGATTGTATTTTTCCTCCTCTAGTTTACTAAAATTATGATTGTTAAATAAAATAAAAAAAAATGTTCTTGATTCCTTCTCTGCACCAATAATTATTACTTTTTTATTTTATAGGTAATATTGAATTTTCAATGAATATTGTACACGATTGTCCTTACATAGCAATATTTGTTGTCCTATGAATTTAAAATGAAAATTTGAATAACTTTTATGTTTTCCTTATTATTTTTATATTTTTTATAGGCAAACTTTTTCAAATTTGCAATTAAACTTCTTGAACCAAAAATTTAGCAAATAACTCCCAACACTTGTGTAGAAAATTCAAATTATACCTTACCATTTATTTCAATTAGAATAAAGAAGTTATATATTCATTTATTTCCATTAGAAAAAAAAAAAAAAAAAAAAAAAGTCTCACAACACATTCTATTTGGTCAGATTATCATTAAATGAATAAATCATTAATATTTTTTGAAAATTCCAATATATACTTATTCTTTTGGATATAATACGTAAAAGTTAAAACCCTCTAAATTAGAAAGAATTTATTTCACATTACTCCCTTGTTTTAGGCGTATTAAGTATTAACTTTATATATATATATATGTATAGAGTATTAGCTTTAAAAACAAGCTAATAATTTCGATTAATCGGGTAAAAGGTTAAAAAAATTCCATAGTTGAAAGGAAGTCGTGCAATTGACCATCCTATACTATTACACAGACGCCCCCGTGTAAGAACCACAAACCTAGGGTTTATTAGCTTTAACGTTCTAATATCTGCCTTTCTAAAATCTACTCGACTCACTCGTTCCCTCCTTTCAATCACTTGCTCTGAGTTTCGATTTTGTGTACCCTTTTGCTGCAATCAAATGGCAAAGAAGCCCAAAAACCCAGACAACAAGGAGAAAGCCAATGGCGATTCTAGCTCTGGTTCAGCTTCAGGTTCGTCCAATATTTTCAAAACCCTCTTTGGGGATGTCCCAGAACAGGGTACCTCCGGTTCGATCTTCTCAGACGACAATCCGTTCAGAAGAAAAGCCAATGGTTCGGTTGGAGATGTCGATAACCCTAGTAGTGCCGATTCTGAAAACCCTAATTTTGTTGAGGTGAAGAAGAGGAAGAGAAGCAAAGAGAAAAAACCCAATTTGGATTCGGGTTCGGCTGATGAAGCTCCGGTGAGTCCTTCGGAGATCAAGAAGTCTAGGAGAGATAAACCTAGAGAGGAAGGAGAAAGGCCTGATTTGGGTTTTGACTTGAAGGAATCATCGAAGAAAAGTAAAGGGGAAAACCCTAATTTGGAATTAGAATCGAAGGAATTGTTGGAGAAAGGCAAGAGCAAAGCCAGAGGGGTGAATTCGGAGATTGAGGTAAAAGATGAGGAGAAAGGGAAGGAGATGAAGAAGCAGAAGAAGAGGAAGAGAGATGAGCTTGAAGAGAAGTATGAGGTGAAGCGATATGGGGTTGTGGCGGAGAAAGATGAAGGTGGAGGAGGAGGATTGGGAGGCAGACTTGTAGGAGAGAAGAGGAAAACAGTGGATAATCCAGAGGACATGTTGGTTTCGAAAGAAGATTTTGATGATGAAGATAAGCTTTTGAGGACTGTGTTTGTTGGGAATTTACCATTGAAGGTGAAGAAGAAGGCTTTGTTGAAGGAATTTAGCCAGTTTGGAGAGGTTGAGTCTGTGAGAATCCGGTCTATTCCGATAATAGATGTGGGTGTTTATAAAATTCACTTTTCTTTTCCCTTTTTTTATTTTTTAATTTTTTTCTTTGGTTTCTTGATGATATTGTGTGTCTTTCATGTTAACAATCTATGCCCTTATTATGTATGTCCAAGCTAATTAATTTTTTCACCTGATTATTTTGCCAGAGCAAAGTTCCGCGAAAGGGTGCTATAATTAAGAAACAAATCAATGATTCTATTGACAGGTATGATGGTAAATCACAGTTGCTTTTCTTTGCTTTTGATTAATCAGAGTTTGTTGGATACTGGGTGCCTACTAGTTGAATTGTCCCCTCTAATTGCCAGAGATGTGCCGTATTGATTTTTTAAAATTTCTTTAGTTTGTGTAATAATATGTCTGTGTTCCGATTATGGCTTTTATTAATATCAGATGTAAACTTTTCTAAGTTACTAATTTATTAATCTTCTGCGTGCTTTTGATATTATGTGTATGCTGGGCCGAAAATTTAGAGTTCTGTTTCACTTGTTACTATACTAATATAGCCAACCCTTTGAAATTCTGGCAAAAATTAATAATCTTGTATTTTTTTTTGAGAAATATAAAATATTAAGTAAAAAAACCATTGCTCAATATTGGTTCTCAACTTCCATGAATTGAGGATGATAGGACTGGATTGGGTACAACCTAACTTTTGGCCAAAATGACTCTTCTTAAACTCATACCAGCAATATCTCTCTTGGCAGCCTGAGTTTTACAATTGCACAAAGTAATGACCCGTTGTTAAATTTTAGATAGTAGAATTGTTAATCATCCTTCACGGAACCAAGTTGGTTCCTCAAAATTTTGTTAATTTTTGGAGATTATTTGACTTATTAGCAACTGTATGGGTTTTTTGTTCTTCATATATCTTTTTCTCATTAGTATTCTGATGAAATTTTTTTGGGGGCTTGCAGTGTTCATGCGTACATTGTTTTCAAAACAGAGCAGTCTGCCCAGGCTTCTTTGGATCATAATATGGCCGTGGTATGTTGGTTTCTGATATTTGGTTATCTGCATGACTCTGGGTGCAAAAATTATATATTTTCTCTATCAGAATATTCAAGTGACAGTGTTATGGATTTTTTTCTTATACTCGTGGATTTAGGTTGGAGGAAATCACATTCGTGTTGACAGAGCATGCCCACCTCGAAAGAAGCTGAAGGGTGAGCAGCCATTACTCTATGATAACAAGAGGACTGTTTTTGTGGGCAACCTCCCATTTGATGTGAAGGTGAATTGCTTGATTATTCTTTATTGTCATAATTATTATTGTTATTCTCATTACTATCTTGTATTTATGTTTTAGGGTCCGATTAATTCATCTTGTTGCCTGTAATAATGCACACATATATATATTTTCAGGATGAAGAACTATATCAGTTGTTTTCTGGTATCAAGGATCTGGAATCCAGCATTGAGGCCATTCGGGTTATCAGAGATCCTAATACGTGTGTTGGAAAGGGCATTGCTTATGTCTTGTTTAAAACAAGGGTATGATCTCAAATTTTACAATGCATATTTATCTTCACCTTTATTGCTTTTAACGTGATCCATAGCTTTGTCTTTTCATTCCCTTATTTTATCTGGTGGGATCTCAATGCTTCATTAACACAGCAGATCTGCTATCCGGATAGTGTCATTCAGAAGGGGCTACCCTTTTCCCCAAAAACTCTGAATTTGTGGATCATAATTTTCTTCCTTTATTTTCCCTATTGAAAGCATTGACAGAATTTATGTATTATTATTATTTATTTGGTAAGCAAGCAACACACACACCCATTTTGTCCCACTTGGGGCTTGAACCCTTGGGCTCCCTTTTGGGGAAGTGGAGGTCATGCCACCACCTAGGCCAATGGCCCTGTGGGGACAAAATTTATATATTAAATATATTGAAATCTTATACTTGTGGAGTATTATTATTATTTTTAATACATAACCTTATAGGCTATAGAGTTTTGAGACAAAAGATCTACAATTATGCATACAGTTAGACTAATGCAAAAAGGAAATGATTAATGTGTCTCTCCCATATGGTAATTTTTATAATCACGTAATTAGGTCAAATATGTTTGTGAGTACCACCAAGGGCTGTAGCCTAGTGGTATATCCTCAACCTGCCAAAGTGAGATGTGAGGGATCAAGTCCCATAGGGGCAAATGGGTATGTGAATTTCTTGACAAGGGGGGGGGGGGGGGGGGGGGGGGGGAGGAAAGAAGCTTGTGAGTTGTGTTTGACTAAAAATTGTATTCATTCCAGAGCTCCAATAACACGTCTACCTTTTAGCTAAGCTATTAATGTAAACAATGTACCATGTTTGATGTCGAATTACCCCTTACCCGTTCTATTTTGCATATGGTCGAGATCCACGTTATAGGCATCATATATCTTTTCCTTTTTCTTTTCCAAAAAAATTACATATTAAAATGTAAAGCCATATAGAGGCCACTGTGCACTGTAATACTGTATATAGGAGCAAAAGAAGATATCCTCTTAGATGCTTAAATCTCCTATGAAATCTATAAAAGAGTGTAACGACTTGGGAAATTTTCTAGAAAACCAGAACTGTAACCTATTTGAAATTTTTTTCTCAACCTTGTGAACCTCTCCACCTAAAAAATCCCCAAAGGAGTGCCAATTCTTGTGATCCCAAATTTGTACTTATATATATGTATCTATGTCTACCTAGACTAGCTTATATATGGAGATTATTGCATGCCTTGAACGGTCCTACTGCTATTAGTGTACATTTAGTCCAATTTAATCTTTTTCTTCCCATTCCCATTCTACTTCCCCCCTTGGGACCCATTGTCCTCGCTGTCTTGACCCTCATTGGGCTTGTGCATGCTCCACCCATTTTTGGTTGGGGATTGGCTCCTCTGTCACGATCCGGCACTGTGTAGATACTCTCCGATTTGCACTCTCCATGCTTACGGTTTTCAAAATACGTCTACACAATAAAAAGGCATCCACACATATAAGTGCCATGAACTTCCCATATCATTACATAACGACCGTTACATTTCATGTTCATTTCACTGCAACCGCATCCGCGTCTTTGATGGGTCCTGATCAAAACTATAGCAGTCTCCATTAATTTTTGTCAGTCACGTTCTTGAGTAAGACGAGACTTCTTTTACTTTATATTTTTTTGCCACATCTTTTTATAAGTAAATAACTGTAAGTAAAGGACAAGCCTATGCATTGTTTATATACTACAGGTTTATTCTCTCAAAACTTCTCACAATTCTTTGAAGTGACAGTGGGTCCAATTGTCAAATTACTTTGAACAATAATTAATTAATTATAGAGCATGACTACGTTTATGCCTCCTAGCAGATATTCTCCCATAAACTTTGCATTTTGTATGGCATTTTAAAATTTGACCTAGGGTTAAATTTTCTTTACCATGGAAGTCTATTAGTAATCTTATCACGTGGAAATCAAGCTACAAAATTAAAAAAAATGCACTTTTTTTTTTTTGATAAGTAAAAGAAGATACTTTTTCCCGAGTTAAGAACTTGAAATGAAAGCTGAAGAAAGTTTAAAACCACAGGCATGAGGATATAGATTTTCTAATGCTTTTACTTTTGAAAATTTATATTCCTAGTATTGAGGTCTTCTGTCTTACTGCTTTCTTTATCATTTTTTATAAAATATCTGGTTTCTACCTGTGTCCCATATGCCCTTTGGCCCCTTTATAAACAAATGGTAGGGATCTAATAATTTATTGTTTTACTGTTTTCTTTATGATGCTTCTGGATGATAGTTGACTGAAACCCTTTTTACTAAAATTCTACTAGTTCAACTAAGGAATTAATTCCTCAAGGCTCAGGCTACATCTTGTCGTTGTGTTGTCTTCATTTTTAGCTGATACAATTGAAACTCGAAGCTTCCATTGAGAATTCTTTTTTCGGCTTGCATGTGCAACCTCTAGACTTGACTCAGTGATAGCATTTATAGGGCAAGTTATTTTAAAAATAACTCATCTGAAGTAGGAGGTTGGGGTCAAATGGATCATATTAGATATTTCTTCTGATCATTTTTGGATTGAGGGGGTTGGAAGAAAAGGAACGGAAGAGGAATAAATTATCTCATATTTTGCATAAAAAACGAGTGAAAGGGAAGGAGGAGGGAGGAGGGTTTTGTAAGTTGTCTAAATAACATTTTTATTATCCTTTCATAATAGAGGGATTTGACAGGAAAGGATAAGGTAGGTAGTGATTTCTCCCTTTGTCCCTATTTTTCATAACAACTGATCCCTGTTTGTCCTTTCTACTCGCATCATGAAACATTCTTCATCCTTTCTTCTCCACTATTTTTCCAAGCAGAAAAGGTTACCACTGTCCAATCACAATGAGGGCTTAGTATTTATTATCCCTTTCTTTCCTTTCTTTTATCTTCTCTCCATTTTCCTCCTATTTATCCAAATACAGTATTAGTTTTCTTATGGTGGAAGATTTGGCTGATCATTCAAATCTACACCGTTTGTTTATGTGCCTTCCTTATGCATTAACTGAACATGAGAGTCTCTTGGGAGATAATCTTATGCTAGTCTATTTTCTTCGTGAGGGCTTTCGGTACCATCTTTGCTTCAAGAATGTCCATTAAAGTGGGAAGAACAAAATTGAGGGGATCAAATTGGAAAAATGAATAGGCATTATTTAGGAAATGTAACCGCCAACCACCTGTTTTACCTGCCAGGTATCGATGAGGGATTATGAAGCAGAAACACTTCAGAAAGGAGTTGCAAGCACTTGTGTGCTTGTCGATACGCGTATCATACTTCATAGATTTATCTTTAACTTAAAAAGATTAACATTCCAAACACGTATATGATACTTCTTAGATACCAGCGGACCATAGTTACAGGCTTGTGCCTACGCCCCAAGAAAGCCTAGGCTTATTAGGGGGTTCAGTTACAGCGCCTCAATCTACTTACTACGGGACAGGGTCATGTCAGGCTCACGCTTTTTAATAGGCTCCAGCCTCAAATAAAGCATACCCTTTATTTTCCAATCATTCGTGTTCACGTTGTTTCTTTTCTTTCTTTCTTCTTCTTCGATATATATATATATATATATATATTTGTGTGTCCATTAATTGACATTCTCCATACCTTATTACGATCATATTGTTTAATCTTGTTAATATTTGACGGCATTCATGAGCTTATGGTTATGTACTTACATTAAACTGTATATAGTTCTTTTGATGAATATTGTTGATAAAATAATATATGTTTAAAATTTACATGATTATATAGCTTTTCTTGTTGCACATTCGTAATGGCATTGGATTTTACTAATGCATATTCGTATTGAAAGGATTTATGCACCTTGATTTGCCTGATGGTGATTTAGTTGAAGTTATACGCAAATTGAAAAGGTGTGTATTTGCCATAAACTTTTAAGGGGATATTAGTGTTGTATATAGAACATGACAAATAATCATTATTTAAGATATTTACATGGAAACACAGACCGGGTGCCAAAAAGTGGCGGAAAAGGGGAGGGAAGAATCTTTCTCCCTTTCTGAATTTTTTGCCACTTAAGATTTGTTTTCTTTTTTATTATTCACGGGTAGACGGTCATCAAGCATTCTGTATTTCTTCCCTTCATCATTTCTACCTTCCTTACCATCCAGTTTGTTTATACCAAACAAAACAGAATTTCTTTGTTTAATTTACACCAAAGCATGGTCTTATTGTCATCTATATATCTGGCATGCAGGATGCTGCAAATGTGGTCATCAAAAAACGTAACTTGAAGCTCCGAGATCGTGATCTGAGACTCTCTCGTGCCCAATCAAATGCTACTCCATCTAAGAGGAAAAGCCCATCATCTGCAGAGACAAATCATTCTCCAGCCAAGAAGTTTGCAGCAGATTCAAGAACTCCGAACAGTAACAATAAAGTCAAAACAAAGGCATCTATCTCTTATCAAGGTGTGAGGGCAAGCAAGTCTGGTGTACAGAAGAAAGTAAGTACCAAAATCGCTGAGCCATCGAAATTGAAATCCAGAATTCAGAAAGGAGACCTGCCGAAAGAGCGAAAGATAAAGAGACCATCTGTTGCTGCCAGAAAGGCAAATGTGCTAAAGGGTGGTGGTGGTGGTGCTTCAAAAGAAGCTGGGAAAAAGCGCAAGCTGGGAAGCCAGACTCCAGAAAGTGCTCGCCCAAACAAGAAAGCTAGGAAATTCAGGTAGGATTTACGCTGCAATAAGTTGCGCAAATCTGGACATGGCTTGGACAAGCGCTTAACTGTATGCTCACAAGACTGTATACTAGCTGCCCACTTCATTTTCAGTTAGTCTTTCATACAATATTTATTCATTGTTTTTCCCAAAGAGAAAAAAAGAAAAGGTCACTGACTATATTATGTAACCAGGAATCTATAATCCGTTGCGTGTGGTAATGGATATTTTTCTCTTGCCGTTTGTGTTAAATTTAAAATGTCATGTTGGAGGGAAGAAGTTCTGCTTGGTGATCAAGGAACCATTTAAACTTGAATATTGCTTGTATAGTCTAAACTATGGTTGCTGGCACTTCCAAGATCTTGCTTATTTTAGTCCATTACCAAGTTTGACGTGTGTTTGATAGTGTCTTGGTAGAAAGCTCTTTTTCTGAGTCTTACTAAATCAAGGAGTGATAATTTGGAACAACCATTTTGGTAAGTAGAATATGCAATTGCTTTTTTGAAGAGAGAGAACTCATTTTTGGATGACTTGTCTACAAACAGGCTAATAATCAAGTAGATGAAAATTTGCCATGGACTAGCACTCGCGCGCGCGCGCACACAAAAAAATGCAGTGGAGTAGGTATGAATCAACCCTGGCCTACTCGCCATTTATATGCTCATCCCAAAATCACCATATTCATATAAGCACAAGGAAAAGTAGCAGCGTGTGACATATCCAGTCATGTTCGATGTGAGACTCTGTGTCAGTGTTCATGGTTGATCCAAGGGAGGCATGTATGATCTGAATGGACAAATTGGGTTATGAGAGTTCATCTATCACTGGCCAAACTAAGCAAACTTAAGTGACTTCATGAATGATTCATAAACATTTCTGCAGACTAATTCAAACAGATAATAAGAATGTTTCTGTCATTACAAAATACAAACAAGAATGCCGTTCGAAAAAATACACAGAAGAATAAGAAAAGTGAAAAGGAAGTCCAAGAAACATTCAGAAGATGATCAGTCACTGACCACAAAGATCTATGCGAACTAACTTCATTTTAGAGAACTGAAAGCCTATCCAAATCATACATACATTCAGAGTGAAAATTCATCAATCCGTCTCTCCTTTCATCACAAGTACTTCTCACAAAAGAAACAGAAAGAAAGAAGTAATCACTAACTACAAACAATAAATTAATGCCCGGGTTCTAAAATTGAAGGCCATGTTCCCGAGCAGCAGCAGCAAGGGCTTCAATGCGTCCATGATAAGGATAGCCACCTCGATCAAAGGCCACCTTTGTGATTCCTTTCTCCAGACAGGACTTTGCTATAACTTCACCCACTTTCTTTGCCACATCCTGACACCAAAAGCTTGCAAAGATCAACATTTCTGCTTTACATAGTCAAAGTCATGGTCCTCCTAAACAAGTAGAAGAAAAACGAATCCATAGAAAAACCTCTTAACAAACGAGTAATTTATAATCGAGATCATCTCATCCAAACTTGATATAATTTTCATGAGAAAGCACTTAATTTAGTTGGTCAGAAAATTGTATTCTAGTGGTTTTTTTGTTTTTTGTTTTTGTTTTGTAAGAACATGTTTACAAACAATGTTTTCCAAACCTTTACAAAATAGGAAGATCAATACACAAACCCACCACCCCCCCCACCCCCAAAAAAAAAAAAAATTTCTTTCCCCTATTTGGTGGTAAGACATCAAACATATTATCTTTTACTTTTTATTCAATAAGTAATAATTCATTGAAGTGCACTCAAGAAAGGAGCATATCCCATATACAAAAAAACAAGGAAACCCAAAAGGGCCCACTAATACCCTCAACCTATCCACAATATCATCTATACTGTTTATGACAAATGCCGTGAACTAAGAACGCAATCAAGAATCACGACAAAAAAGTAAACAAACATGCCACACACAAAGATTTACATGGTTCGGCAAAACCCACGTCCACATAAAGATCCGGCGAAAGATTTCACTATGCAAAAATCAGGAGATTAAATTTCAGCCCCAAATCCTAGCTCTCTCTCACAAACATATAGTAATACATTTACAACTCCATCCATGGGTCCAAAAAAAACAAGGAGCCAAGGATAAAGAATTCTAGTGGTCAAAAGAACCTCCATTTTACCGTGTTTGATCTTAAGTGGTACCAGAACCTTCAAAGTTCCAATAACATTTAAACAAATCATCAACCAAGGGGACAAGATTTGAACATAAAATACTTCTTTTTCCGGTCAGGAAACAGAAAATAGTTTGCCACAATGTCATACAAACTTCTGATACAACTAAGAAAATTGATGGTACTTATAGGCAGAAACTTAATTTATCAGGCAGACTCTAAGTGGGGACTAAATGACTGATCAATAATGGGGAAAAACTGGCTCCAGATTCTAAATCAATTAATCATCAAATAATTATTATGACAACAAATCAATAAATAGAGAGGCCAATGCAAGAAGAACTTGGCTAGACATACACAGCTACATTTTACTAAAAGCATAAGGATTTATGTACGAGCGAAAATACAAAGTTCAAGAAATTTTATATCACAGAAACCATCATTAAAATTAAAATAGTTTTTTTATTTTTTATTTTTATAAATATCATTAAAATTAAAATAATGGAAATTAATTTTTTATCATTAAATTAACAAAGCTCTGCAACCGCATTGAATTCTTCAAGTCAATTGTATTGCATTTAGTTGGCCCGGAATATATACATATATCTGTGAACATTTTTCTTCTTCTTTTAATTCCTTTCCTTTGTGTTATAAACATTTGTGTCTGTGAACTTACAATAGTTGGACCAGAGCTGTAATCGAACTCCTCAGAGATGGGTTTCTGCATTGTTGAAGCTGAAGCCAGAGTATGCATTTTAGAGTCATCAATAACCTGGACATAAAGATGTTTGTTGGAGCGGAATACAGCCAATCTCGGCCTTTCTGGCGTCCCTTCAACCTGAGAAATCAAGAAATTGATTGCACAAATGACAGTAGTGCATCGCCAACAATCAACAACAGCACATTTCATCTAACAGATACAAGGAATGAATCGCAAAGGGAAGAATCACTTCAGGCTCCCATCCAAAATAATATTCAAGCAGTAGGAAAATAGAATGAGGTCATACTGAGACTCAGCTAGTAAGATCAATATACAAGTGTATATAGCAAAAAACCAAGAAAACAATTACAAACTTAACGACCATAAAAGAAAAAGGACAGAAAGCACCAAAAAAATAGTAATTTAGAAAGGAAGAGCGAAATTATTGTTGTATCTAAGCACAAAGGTTTTGCACTTATAGTATAACCTCCTTGAAAAAATACTTATTTATATCCAATTTGCAGAACACAAATTTTCAAACAGATCCATATGGGTCACCTATTTTTGCTGTTCTTAATGCACACTTCTTATTTATTCCTTGCCAGAAATCCACATGCACAATGGCGATGGATTAACTCCGGTCAAATAGTGAATGTCATGTCAACCCATCAAACTGGTATATAATTTTTTTTTTAAGTTGCAGCTTAAATTTAGTTTCACAGGCTTCCACATTCCCTGTCATAACAAATTCAAGTTTACATGATCAACTCAAAGGGGGGCACCGCCAAAACCCACGCGAGGTGGCAATGACATAAGCATTGGAGAAGCACATTTTGCCTTGGGAAAAAACTTCGACAAACAAAAATAGTACAGAAATCAATAACTATTGCTGGAGAAACTCAGGAATACATGCTCCCAATGTGAACTACTTAAGGGCAAAGCTTATATCCACGAGCTGAAGTTCTAAAATCAGCTTAGCTACATATCTCAAGTTTTTCTTTCCATTCATTAGGTGCTTCTCATGCATAATGAAAACCACAGAAGAATCACCCATGCATGCACACCTATTCCTTTAGACATAACTCATTCAGGATATTTCTTACCACCAAATTAAGAGCTTCAATGGTTAAAATAATCCAAAACGATTATAATTAGAAGCAGCAAAATTGGGTCACCTAGAGACTTTGTCAAGATAACATTGAAATTTGTTAGTTTATGACTTGGCAGACAAAAAATGATAGCCTATAGTCCAGCACACCATCAAGACGTATATTTCAGATGGTGTTTGAGTGTACTGTAGTAACTCCACACCACACGCCAAAAAGATGCATATTCCAAATACTGTTATAATGAACTGTAACAACCTTACATTTGATTTAACCACACAGGAATAATGATAGTGCTTCCTAAGGATCGACATAGAAACAAAACATTATCCAACAAGTCTATTTCACTATTTGGTCTAAATCAATAAATGCAATTGTATACAACTAGTATCAATCCACATTTTACATATCAATAGTACACATGTTTGCCAAGGGTCTCACAGGATAGAATTCAGGAAGCAAATTAACTAATCACATCTGGCTTCTCTTACTTAGGGCGCTTTTTTTTTTTTTTTTTTTGTGTGTGGTTTTCTCTTTATCCTCCATGGCAAAAAGGTAGAAGGACCTCAAAACTCAAAGCCAAAATCCCACCTCATTCTTCATCCAAAGCCATGGTTAGGCATTACCTCGATTAGCATGAGTAACACGAAAACAAATTTTAGGATCCCAGGGGTAAGTGGGTAACACTAGACCAAATAGGTCAAATCATGCTTTTTCAAGTCACTTGATAAGTGAAGCAATATGATAAAGCTAGATGAAAGGGTAGATCCAATGGGGAGACTCCCATAAAGTGGGGGAGATGTTCATAATCCCTTAAAAGGGATTTTTTTTCTTTTTTTTTTTGGTGAATTTTTTTTTTTTTTTTTGGGCAACATCTACACAATGTAGAAGGTGAAAGAGTCAGAATGACACAAACCATCCAGATTTATCATATATTATATATCTACTTAAATTCAAACAAAAAGGTTGCTCTATAAATAGAAATAAAGTAGGATGAGCATTGCTTCATATTATCAGCTATATTCCTCCCAAACAAAAGGGTGAATTTCTTTCTAAGCAAAGATGTTATAATTGTGCCAAATTATCAATAATCACCTACCTCTATGGTGTTTGCCCGAATCAATTCATGTTATTGTTTTCTTTCTACATTTTCTAGTCATTAATTAATAGAGAACTGAATGCACACCCCAAAAAAAAAAAAAAAAAACCACAAATTGTTCAAATGTCAAGTAGGAAATCATATAAAAGACATCAATGAAAAAATAATAATAATAATAATTAATCAAGAATAGAAATGAGTTGGGTTTGTTTGGGGCAAGAGAAAACCTTCTTTCTGATACGAGAATGGCGGGCGGTTCTGTCCTGTCTTTTGGTTGTGGCCTTGGCTTCGATGACAAGAGGTTGGTACTGAAACTGGGCCGGCGATGCCACCGGCATAGGACGACGGAGGGGAAGCTGCTGCGAATAGGCGCAAGCGCTCTGAAAGAAGGATAGTGAAGAAGTAGACATTCTCTCTCTATCTCTATACACACTCAATTCCTCTACACTGTAACTCACCTGTCCCTGGAAGAAGATAGATAAGGTGTCATATACGAAAAAGAGATTATACGACGTATATACAATATTTGGGCTTTGTAAGTGACCCGACTCGAAATTTTGGGCTGTTCGGGCTCGGTAAACCAATATTTGGGATGTTTGGACCTTTTAGAGAAATTCATTATTCAGCATCAAATATTGGGCTCAAGCTCAGGCTAGGCTTGGACTCAATTAGCTCAACTCAAGCTTATGTATTTTTTTTTTTGGGTAAAGTATAGTCACACCTCCTGAGATTTAGTAAAACGACACTCAGAAGAAATTTACCTATTTTTTGGACAAAAATACTCCCTGAAGATTCAAAAATGAACAAAGGCACCCCTTTATATGAAAATTTGACCAAATTACCCTTTGACCATTTGAGAGACTTTTTTAACTGTACAATTTAATAAATTTGACCAATCTACCCTCATGAATAATTTATGCATAAAAAAAAGTAAAAAAAAAAGTTTATATTGTTCACTTCTTTTTTTTTTTTGGTTATTTACTTTATAAATGTCCCAACTTTTTTAAAATGTAGACGTCTAAAATGATTTTTTGATTCAATACATATATTTCAAATAAATTATATTTTGTTATTACTTCTTTTCTTTTTTATTTTTAAATTAAGATGCTTAATTCTTTCATCTAAAAAAATTAAACCAATCTCTTTTCCTTAATAATAAAAAATATGGTACTAGTATAACTTTATGCATTTTAAATTATATATCAAATATTATGCATTTCCTAACATAAAAGAAAATAGTTACCAGTATAACTTTATGCATGCTTTTGTTTTTTGTTTTTTTATTTTTTTCCTTTTTTTTATTATTATTATTTTTCCTTTTTATGTTATGAAATGCATAATATTTGATATATAATTTAAGATGCATAAAGTTATACTGGTACCTGGGACATTTAACTTATGAAATGCATAAGTTTCATTTAAGTGTCATTTTGCCAAACCTCAGGGGGTGTGGCTGTACTTTATCCTTCTTTTTTATTTTTATTTTATATATATATATATATATATATATATATATATATATATATATATTTTATTTTATTGTGACATGATAATATTGAACCTCTCAGAGCACTCCATAATTCACCATTGAATATCAAATCTTTTAAAATACTTCATAATTCCCCGTCGAATCTCTGCCCATATGTACAAGGGGACATTCTTTGGAGGTGGCCTCAAATCTTTAGATTTGAATGTTTTCCAAGAGACAAGAAAAGAATCTCAATTTCAATTTGTGATTTTATTTTCACGTAACAAAGCTTTTGGATTTCAGTTTGAATGATGAAGAAAAAAAGTAAATGGAAACAAATTTGAACAAGAGTTTGGTAAGTTGGAAAAAGGAAGCTTAACATATAAGAAAATAATTTCTTGAGAATTTTTATAAACTTACAAAGTGCAAAAAAATTTTTTTTTTGGACAATGAGTAGGTCATTCCTACTAATCGTGTAGTCCAATCACAAATACAAAAGTAATCTATAATTACAAATTAAAAAAGTGATGAGGACAATAACTTTTTTTTTATAGAATAAATTCAATCACCTTCTCTAAGTTCTTTATTTATCTTTATTTGTGCATTGTGTGATTAGACAGGTAGGATGACTGAATGTGAAAAATGGAATGTGAAAATTGACTTCAAGCTCAAAAACTGAAACGGAACCGAACTGAGACGGAACGTGAAAATTAACTTCGAGCTCAAAAACTGAAACGGACCCGAACTGTTCACAACTAAGTTTATTTGCAGCTCTAATACTTTGGAACTCTATTGAAATAATTTGGAATTCCCTTGTACAGTGAAAGAAAGATCTAAAGTTCCTTGGTATGCCATATATTCCAACAATTCCTTCAATCATTCTCCATACAAGATGCTTAAAAATAACAATGTCCTTCCCAAAATGACTTGGAAGTTTAGCATATAAATAATGACAGAAGCTGAATTAGAATTACTTACATCAGAACATCTTGAAAATGATAAATACCGTTTTTTAACACTAATACATGAACTTTTACACATCTTGACAATGATAATATTTTTGGTATTAAACTAAGGTAGCTGGTACTTGATGTACCACAATCTAAAATGCTAGTAACTTCTCCATCTCAATAGAACACATAATGGAGAATCCATCTAAATCCCAACACCATCTTCATACCATCACCAATAGACCCCAGCTTCAGCAGTGGAATCTGCTGCAAAGCCGAATGGAGCTTCAAATTGACCTATTTGACGCTCGTCTGTACAGAAATGGAGCGATAAACAAATAGTTTCCTGCTATCAAGGGCACCATGTAATAGCTAATGAATCTTATGACTTGTTCTTGCTTAATAGAGTTGGGGTAACTGTTACAACCCCAATGAGGAACAGAGTAGCCACCGAGTGGAAGTCATAAAGGTCGCCAACTGATTGCAACTCTCCGAGAGTGATTCCAGCCTGCAAGCACACCACCAGGAGTTTAAAATTCCGCTTACTTGTCAACAAGTAGTATTAACATAGATAATCCAACACTGGCGCAAATAATTCAACAACAGTACAGAGAACATATGGGCTATATGTGACATGTTCTTTTTCATCTTTAACAAAAGTGATCTGACACTAGTTGCAACGTGCAAATAGTTCATGAGTAGTAAAAATATCCATGCCAACAACGCTAAGAGAATAACTTTCTGTTTTTGGGTTCGGGTCACAAACAAAATCACACACACAATGTATTATCACAAGTATAACATAACATTCCCAGCCTTTGGTAGTTTTTAGATGACAATGTCCACCCCCTGGGCACTAGGCGTCACACTTTTTTTTAACCTTAAATGCAATGCTGCTATAATCAAGTTCAATATTATCTCAGTTGACCACTGAATTTAGAACTAATCTGGACAACAAATAACTCCATGATCCAAAGAGACCACCACAGAATATATAAACTAAAATTCCAATAGTGATGAAAAAAATTATAATTTCAAGAATAGTACCCTGACAGTGACATAAGCAGCGGGAATGATTCCAATGAAGGTTGCCAGGAAGAAAATATGGTAAGGCACATCCACAATTGGTGATGCAACATTAATAAATGTATTTGGCAAGGTTGGGGTCACTCTGAGGAAAAGCATGTAGTTCAGCAACCCCCCTCGTCTTTTAGCCACCTGATAAATAGTAATATGTATTTAAATATTTTGGTTGATAGAGAAAAGGTGGTTACGGCAATGAGTTGACATTCACCTGGGCTTGGAAGAAACTCAGCTTGTCTGGCCACAGAGAGAAAACAAGGGGACGCCCAATTAATTTGGATAAGAAAAAGCAAGAAGATGCACCGGAAGTGGCAGTGAACACAACCAGAGCAACGCCTTTGAAGACTCCAAAAAGGGCTCCAGCAAGCAATGACATGAAAATAGTCCCTGGAATCATAAAAGTCTGCATGAAAATGTAGACCATGCAGTACCCAACGAGGACCTGTATAGTGTAGTCACTTGTGTAGTTCTCAAGGTGATCTCTACAGGAAACACCAAAAAATTTATCAAAAAGAAATTCATAAATCAAATTTGACAATTTCTGTACAAGCTTGCTTAAGCATATGTAGCAGAGCAACAATGTGATAGGCCAGGTACAGAAAGAACAATGAAAACAATGAATGTTATATTCCAAAATAAGCCCCAGTCCCAAACCCACCATCCCCAGGAGGATACTCCAGGGCTCAAGTAAGGCCCAGGGCAGGGCCGAGCTTGGGCTTGATTTAATTAAAAGTAGAGAGAGAGAGCGAGACTTCCTTTATCTTTTTCTAGGTTTTAGACCTACTTATACATAGAGGTGAGGCATGTGGAATTTGAATGAGTTACAACTTACATCTTGGAAACAACCAAATATTCTGTACATAAATTGTTCATGTACTTCTCCAAATGAATATAGTACCTCTATACACGTATACATAACAGGTGCAATGTAATATACACATACATGCGCATATAGGGATATATACACATTCGTAAATGCGTATTCATATGCATGTCCATTAGGATATATTTCATATAGGGAAATATATCCCAACTTATACATATAGGGATATATTCATCCCTCCAGCTGTCCATCAGGTTTTCTCACCCCTACTACCATCATTTCTCTTTCCCTTTTTTTCCCCTGAATTTCTCTTTCCTTTTCACTAGCTAGACTAGAGATCTACCATAGATCTAAAGTAAGAAAAATAATAATGATTTGTTAATGAGCACTAAAATAAACTCAATCAATCAAAAATGACTATAATAACCAGCTCATCCAAATCAGCTGTGGTATGTATTGTGATTGCGCCCGCTCATCAAAATCAGTTGTGCTTGAAGTCAGATCAAATGCAGAGATAATAAGATTGTTAAAATTTATAAATGAATGCAAATAAAAGAACTCAGATTCGTTTAGATTTAAAATTCCAAATTATTGATGGATTGTAAAAGGATTTCATAACTTGATAAAATTAGTTGATAAAATTTTTGTCAGACTTCTTTTTACTTCCAATTGTTACAACATTGTTATCCACATAATTAAGTAATTCAGTAATTGCCTAACTAAGTTAACCAACTATAAAATGAATGTTGCATTCATGTTGATTTTGATGTGAGAACAACCTAGAGATGCTTGTGTGAAAAGAAAATGAACCTGTAATTTTTCCTAACCTTACAACATTCCATAAATATAATAGTAGGCAATAAGTCATTTATTAGAATTGCTACTTTCAGCCAGCACATAACAAGTTACAATTGCCAATATAGTTGAGGAACAATCCAATTTCAACCTAAAGAGTAAATAGTGATATAACATGCAAAATTTTAATATATTAAAAAATTAATAAATAATGGAACATTTGAAGAATAATATGTTATATTCTGGATTCTAGGACAAATTTTCAACTAGCTTAAAGAGCGATTTTATGATGTTTGCTGATAACAACAATAGTGGAATGCTAGAACCTAAGTCAAACCATCGCAATGCCGGTTACAAGAGATTGAAGTTCGATGTCGTGTGTATCAAACATTCAGCAATACTGGAAGTTCACGGCGAAAGCCCTGACATAAATTTCACAACTCGCCAATCTCCATCTAAAAAGCCCAAATTTCACAAGGAATCCTGAAAAGAATTCCTACATAGTCCTCAGTCCCAATTGCTTATGCTCAGCTCCATGATCCTATTTGGCTATTATAGTCTATTTAGGGCTCTACATATGTATATGTGTGTGTGCGTGTGCGTGTGTGTGCGCATACATACATGTCAGTGAAAATATCAATGGTCCACCTAAAGGCAGCTACTTATGCACACAAATAGACAGAGAAAAGGAAAAATCAAAAACAAAAACAAGGAAAAAAAATAGTGAGGCATATATCAAATATAACCTTGTGTTACCCAAAGAATCAACAAAAGAATTAGTAATAGAATGAGTTGTTTTTTAACGAAATAGTAGGAAACTTAGATTTGAAAGTTTCAGCTTTCAAACTGACATTTCCTGACATTTTCTCCTCCTTGAAGGCTCCCATCTCAAATAGTCTTCTTGTCCCTCTACAAACTCTAGACATATAACATGGAAAAAAAAGCCTCTATATTTCTTGGAATGCCCTAATGAACAAGGGACCTGAAACATCTAAATAAGTTGACAGCCAAAGATAATTAGAAACCATTACCTTGTCAACAGCAATTCTACAGAGATCTAGGAATATACATCATAACAAGGACTGGTCCCTACACCAAACATCATACTTAGGGCCATACTTTCAGTTATTTCAAAAACACCAATGTGGCTTTCTCCAGTACCTCAACATCCGTATTGGTGTTCCTTTTTATTAGAGATCGGGCAATCAGTAAAGGGATATGTCTATTAGGAGATTTCTCTCACAGAAGTCTCAACACAGGATCTAAGAGATGACACTTAAAAAATAAAAGTACTTTAGTACCTGCATGCATATCACAGAAATGAAGACCCTACTGAAACTGTAAGAACTAAAAATATATATCAGTAGAAGCCATAAATAAATCATAAAAACCCCAAAATAGATATAAATAAAAATAAAAAGGAAAGAAAAATAGCAATTTCAGTCCATAGACAAAAAATTATTAACAATATGATCAGGGGCAGAACTCTGAAGGGACAAGGGAGCCCAAAAAAAATTTAACATCCTATTTCATAAGTCTGCTTATAAAACATTTAACATCCTATTTCATAAGTCTGCTTACAAAATTTGATAGGAGATATTTGACCACTTCGTTGTTTTATTTTTGTACACATTTACATCATACTTGACTAGACATAAGACAAAATAGCTATCTATATTTTGCATGAACTTAATGGGTAATGAAATACTTTTAGTTTATAGATAATCATCCTAATCTTATCTTAGATCTTCTTATATATTGCTGTAATTATATAAACTAGAACCTTAATTGAAAGAAAAATATGCTGCTGTTTCTATATTTTTTTTCGTTTAAAAAAAAAAATTTCGAATCAAATTCATACCATTAACTCCCCCAACAACAGTTCAGAATTCACAGTTCAGAATTCCTGGGTCTGGCTGTCTATGATGCTCTCACAAATTAAACCAATAGATGTGATAATTATCCATCAAGTTCATTGCCGTGATAGCCCCATATGTCTCCATGGAAAATGGGTTTCCCGGATGGTTATCCAAAAAGATTAAATTCTACTATATGTATCATATTACATTTTAAGCTCAGAGAAGATCTAAATTCTATTAGATCTCTTGCGTTTGCTTAGATAAAATAAATTAAAATAATAAAAAAAGCAAGAAAGGAAAAAGATCAACTTTCCACAACCATAACCAAGGATATCGAAAAATAAACAATATAAAAATCTTCAAATAAGCAACTTTTATAGATTAGACGTATATGTGCGTGTGTGTAAAGATAATTGAAGTACCTGAGGATTTGAAGATCTTCGAGACTACGGGGCAGCTTGAGGAAGCTGTAATCGGAATCTGGCATCGTTAGGTAGACGCAAAGAAGCCCTAAAACGAAGCCCAAGACGACGCTGGAGGCCATCGCCATCTCCCAAAATCTCAATGGAAACTTTGACGACGACGACGACGACGACGAAGGTGAAGGTGATGATGATAAAGATGATGATTTATCATTAGTAATCACAACATTAGCATCTACAATGCCATTGCAACAAGCAGTTCCCAATTGTTCCTCCATCTTCTCTCCTCCTTCAAAACCAATCCCAATCACAAAAAATTATATGTATATATATAACACACACGACACAGTCAGAATATGTGTTTGTGCAGTGAATTGTGACGTGAGGAAATTGAATTGGCTATCGAATTTGGGAGAAGAGAGGAGGAGAGTGAAAGCGAGAAAGAGAGAGAATGAAACCCTAACGTAGGAGTATTCTTTCCCTCTGTTTCTCCCTCTTCTTCTCAGCCTTCACCTTATCAATTTCTAGAGAGAGATAAAGAGGAGAGAGAATATTCGCAGTTATGCCCAATAAAATTCCAATAAAACAGGTCAGGGAAAGGAAAATTGTTTTGTACCGTATTTCTTTTTGTATATTTTTTAATTTTAATTTTATGTTTTGTATGTTTTTTTTTTTATATATTTTTGTTTTGTTTATAATTCTTTTCCTTAATTTCTGTGAGCGGTGTTGTCGGTATTGCACGTTTATTGTTTCGAAAGTGTGAGGAGATAAAATAACCTCACTTGCGCTCAACAATATCCTCGTGTTGCGTGGTAAAATAAAATGGCATGGTCGGTCATTTTAAATCTTTCACGTTTATTATTTTACAATTTACTTAACTTTTCTTACCCACCATCTCTTTCCTCTAAATGAAAAATGATGAAGTTCAGAGAACTTTCACGTTGCCATTGCCGATGTTGCATAGCCGATCTTACTTTTTGGAGTAATTTATCTGATTAATTTCGTTAACAGATGAGACTTTAACTTGCTAATTAGTTATGTGGTTAACAACCAGCTTTTTAGAGGGACAAAGCCTTTCAAGTCACCACTAGCGTGCACACCAGTGCCCACAAAGGTGCACACCAACGTCCACCAGCGTGCACATAAGTGCCCACCAAGGTGCATGCCAACGCCCTAGTTTCCTCGGTGTCATGTTCCGTGACCTTCTCTTCTAGCTGGAGTCATAACAACCTCAGTCTTTAAATACTTGGTCGAATTTTTAAATCTTTTAAAAATTTCACTATAAATGATTTTCTGAACGTCACATAATTAAAAATTATAATTCATTATCTATCAAAAAACAATCGCCGCCATCTCTCCAATGTAATTTATTTAAAGTTTAGGGGAATTTTGAAGTTGATGAAATATTTTTGCAGAAAATAAAAATAAAAAGAAGTGGTATATTGGTGGAGGTGGTGGTGAGGAATATTCAACGAGACAAGCACGTGACAATGGCAACGATTTGTTGACGGACAACCATTGCCGTACGCCAAACGAGGCTCACATGGCCTTGCACTATTCTACGCCACGCCATCCATGCACTTCTGTATTCTAATAATGCATTTTAGAGAGAGAGAATTTTCAATGACGAAACTGCCCTTGTTTTGTTGCTTTCGCAAGACACAAACAACGAGTGACACACGGTATCTTACAATTGATTTTGGTGCTTAGAAACAAGAAAAAGAAAATAATAATGGAAGGTGATTAAGACATTTTACTACTAATAGAAAATGAGCCCAAAATTCCGAAACTGCCCTCCCTTAAAGGAAAAGTGATTGATTCCAAGACAAATATATTGATGTGCTCGTTTCGTTTATACTAAGACACTTAATGTCAGATTAAGTATCCAAATATGTTTTTGAGTGCCAAGCTATTCTTCAAGAAAAAAAGACAAATAACTATGCTATATTCAGTATAAATTCAATGTTTATAACAAGATAAATCATAATTCAAATCCTGATTTTGTTTTATTTACCCAAATGACAGGTAATTGATCCAGTGCAGACCATTATTTGAAGGGAAATGTTATTTTAAAGGCCTTGGAATTGATAAATTTTTAATTAGAGAAAAAAATACATGATTGTTTTGACAATGTTTTTTTATTCACAAATTTTGAATTTTTTTTAATCCAACAAACTTATAAGATATCTTGTTTTGTTTCATTATTAGGTGTCACTCTTAAATTTTCTCGCAATTTATTATTAATTTGATTTTTTAAAAAAATTTAATGTTTGTCCATATTCAAATTTTGGTGGGGGGAATTGTGGTACTCACCACACAAGCACAACTTGACGATGAAGGAGAATTGGAATTTTAGGGTCTGTGGAGCTGCTGTTGAAAAAAAAAAAAAAAAAAAAAAAAGTGACTTTTATTAACAGAGTTATCAAAGAATTGAAAGCTCTAAATTCTAAATCTATTTAAATCTTTTACTGAACTAAATTTAATAGTTATTAAAAATACTTATAATAATTACCGAATACATTTAAATACAATTTTTTAAAATAAAAATACTTTTAAAACACCGAACATAAGAGGGCGCCACTTTTGAACTCGGACTTCACCCGGATATGGATGGCTGGCCCTCAAAACCTTCCACCTCATGGCATTTTTTACCAGTTGACCACAGTGCCCTCAGTCTTTTATGTATGTTTTGAGCAATTGACCATAATGCCCCTAGTCTCAATCTGAGATGATTTCTTTGATTAGGTAGTAGTAGTAGTTGCCATTGTTGACAGCGTATTGTCCAATCATTGTTGATCATAATCATTCACCATCAGATAGGAGACGTTAAATTGAAGGTAAGGGTACTTTGGTATTTTGGCTCTTTTAGTGTTAAATGCACAAAATATAGAGGCATCACACACACACGCACAAGTGGGCGGACTAGGATTGGCCATTGTTGCCTGCAATGAAAACCAACGAAACGGCCAAAGTGGGACCCAATTCGAAAGTGGGGGTGTTGGTGTTCACATGGGTTTAAGCCCATTTTAATTAAACGCCTAGGAGTAATAAATTTAGACATGGGAATAACGTTCAAGGGCAATAATTTCTTCTCTTTTTTTATCATTTTGTTTATTATTATTATTATTAGTACTAAATTTTTTTTTAATAAAAGTGTAAAAAATTCCCTAAACTATTTAAAAATTGTAATATTTGCCTCTAAAATATTACCGATTGCAAATCAAGCCTTAAGTTATTAAAAAGTTACAAATTATCCGTCATGTGTCATTTTCTGGCTTCTAGAAGGTAAAATTACCTAAATACCCTCATGAATTTACATAAAACTTATAGAATATCATTAGATGTAAAATATCTATAATACACTTCAGGGGCATGTAATAGTTCAGGTTTTTTTTTTTTTTTTTTTTTGGGTACTTTTACCTAATAATAACAATAACTAATAATCAAAAGCTCCAATCACTCTGACAATACCGTACTTGTTGATTAATTGACTTAATAAATAAGCGTGACGGAATAGTCTCTAGGTTATATATAAACAATTCAGGTTAACTTGGTTTTCCTTTTTAAAATTAATATTGCACTTAATTCAAACATGTTACTGAGCTTCAAAGGGTATGACAATGAGATTTTTGAGCTTCCAAGAGTATAACAATGAGATTTCGATGGGCCTTGGTATGAGAGTGAAAATTACGGTTGGGCTTGGTATGAGATTGAAAATTAATAAGCCTATAGATCTAGAATGGACCCAATTCCCAATATTTTCTAATTACGTCCAGCCCAATCCCTACAAGTTCTGGGCAAACCATTTGTTTCTGACTCTCAATCTTTCCATTGAATGATATGACTCTTGGTAGCGGATTGTATCTAGGTTATTTATTTATTTATTTTTCTTTTGATAATCGGGGTGTTCGGGGCTTTGGGACTATATTCGGGTCCTGGCGCTAAGGAATTGTTCACACCTATAAAAAATCGAACTTGAGACTTAAAACTCGTGAGGCACTAGGACCCAAATATTTTCCATTAGGCCCACCCCTTATAGTTATCTAGGTTAAATTTTAATTACGCAAATTAATATAAATGATGTCCAATTGATAATATTTTGAGCGTTTGATAAATAATGTAAACAAAAACAGGAGAAAGTTGAATATGGTGCAATGTGGATCGAGTTAATTTGGCTGAAACTACCATTTGAAATCATCACCGTTATAAATTCTTTTCTTTATTATAAAAACGGCCTCATCAAAATCAATATATATATATAGATATATGATGAAATTAATGTGAAATGAATTTGGTACAAAACATAAGAGTCCTACAACGCTTCTTCCAAATTCAAGTGCTTTGTTAATTATGGGTGAAAATGACATGAGAATTAATGATAAAAAGGGACACATCACAGTGAACGATGGAATACACCTTACCTAAGGGACATAATAATATAGTCCACTTTGAATTGAGGCAGTATTTGGGCCAAGAAATCATTATCGTCTTTTTTGTCTTAATTTCATATGAATACAATGAACCATACTAACAAAGATCGACAAACAATATGTGAAGCTTACCTTGTAGCTTATATACTTTTTAGGGATAAAAACTTGAACAAAGTCTTAAAAATGAATTGAAAGAATATTGTAAAGGCTTACAAGTATTTTGTTAGGAGTGATGTCACAATTTCAAATTGGAATGACCTGCCTCCTGCAAATTGTTTCAAAGAATCCAAATGAAATGAAGTTTTATCTTTCTAGGGTTTGGAGGAAAGAGAGGTGGAGGAAGGGCCACGCGAACAAATTTGAATCGCTGAAAAATGAAATTATATTATTTGACGATGTCATGTGAATCTCGCGTTGATTTCATCATGCGTGTTTTAAACATGCTGTCAAATGTCTTTTTCCATAGTGAAAATTACCTCCCAATGCAAGGTTCTTTGTCTTGATTTGTTTTTGATAAAGAAAACCCATGGACAGAGAAACATTGATAGAGAGAGGGACACACCATGGTTGAGAATTGTTCATATTCCACTCAGGTGAGGGTGGTTTATGATGAAAGTGGATGCCCTCATGTTTGGAGGGTCCTATTCATTGTCCTATGCACCAAATGATGTCATTTCAGTGCACCAATACCAAGTCCAATGCTGCCCCGAATTACATTACGAGTTATAGTTTCATACGAATTATTTTCAATTACGTGTTGTATATCAAAACGATATAATTATACATAAGACCCTTCAAACAAGAAGGACTCAAGTCCAATTTATGACATAAATCAATCATACAATGCATTAACGAACCAATTCTTTGTATAAATGTTCCATCTTATGCTAATAGGTAAGAAGCAGGGAGATTTCTTATCTGTCTTGACTCATGACATATGAGATTAATCTAGTGTGTAAAAGTGATTAGCAAATTGGTTTATATTTTCATAGTCATATAGATTTAATCATGGTCGGTTTTATAGCTAGGCCATTAAAGCCTTCGGCTAGGGTCCCATATAAAAAGTAAGGCCCATGTGAAAAATGCCTATTATCTTTCCTAAAAGTAGGACAACTCTAAGTGTACTTTATTATAATGTAGTTCATTTTTTTTTT